GTGGATAGCATTTTCCATCACAAGGCCTCTGGAGATGTCTGAGATTCTTGTATTGCCAGGAAGGGTTAAGTTTATCAATATTAGTCATCACTCAACGTGGCTGTTGTTGTGTACAACGTTCTGTTGGTTCTGCTCACTTCACTCAGCATCAGACCACACAAGTCTTTCCAGGTTTTTCTGAAGTCAGCCTGTTCATCATTTCTTATAGCACAATAGTATTCCATCACATTCATATACCACAACTTGCTCAGCCATTCCCCAATTGATGGGCATCCTCTCAATTTCCAATTCTTTGCCACCAGAAAAAGAGCTGCTATGAATATTTTTGTACATGTAGGTCCTTTTCCCATTTGTGTGATCTCTTTGGGATATAGCCCTAGAAGTGCTATTGCTGGGTCAAAGGGTATGCACATTTTTATAGCCCTTTGGGCATAGTTCCAAATTGTTCTCCAAAATGGTTGGATCATTTCACAACTCCACCACCAATGCATTAGTGTTCCAGTTTTCCCACATCTTCTCCAACATTTATCATTTTCCTGTTTTGTCATATTGGCCATTCTGATAGGTGTGATGTGGTACCTCAGAGTCGCCTTGATTTGCATTTCTCTAATCAATAGTAATTTAGAGCATTTTTTTTGTGAATATAGATGGCTTTAATTTCTTCATCTGAGAAATGTCTGTTCATATACTTTGCACAAACCTTCGATTTAAAAAAAAAATACAATTATCTGTGAAGCACAATAAAGTGAAATTCAATAAAATTAAGTATGCCTATACTCAGTCTTTCTGGGCAGGTTATTCTTTGTTGTAATCCTAGCTCCTTTGCCTTCTAGAATATCATATTTCAAGCCCTCCGCTCCTTTAACATGGAAGCCTGTAAATCTTGTATGTTCCTGGCTGTGGCTTCATGGTATTTGAATGGTTTCCTTCTAGCTACTTGAAGTATTTTCTCTTTGACCTTGGAGCTCTGAAATTTGTCTGTAATATTCCTGGGAGTTTTCATTTTGGGATCTCTTTCAGGAGATGATTGGTGGATTCTTTGGATTTCTATCTTACCATCTGGGTTTAAACTATTGGGGTAGTTTTCCATGGTATTTTCTTGAAATATGATGTCTAGGCTTTTTCTTTCATCATGGCTTTCAAGTAGTCAGTAATTCTTGGGTTTTTTTGTTTTGTTTTGTTTTGTTTTTGGTTGTAGTCAATAATTCTTGAATTATCTCTCTCAGTCTGTTTTCTGGGTCAGCTGTTTTTCTGATGTGATATTTCACATTTTATTCTGTTTTTTCATTCCTTTGACTTTGTTTTTTGTTTCTTGATGTCTCATGAAGTCATTAGCTTCCACTTGACCAATTCTAATTTTTAAAGAATTATTTTATTCAGTGAGCTTTTGTACCTCTTTTTCCATTTGGCCAATTTGTTTTTTGAGATGTTATTTTTAATCCTTTGTTTTCATTTCTTTACCTGATTTTTCTTCTACTACTCTTTTTTTTCTTTTGGGGAGGCATTTGGGGTTAAGTGACTTGCCCAGAGTCACACAGCTAGTGAGTGTTATGTGTCTGAGAATGTATTTGAACTCAGGTCCTCCTGACTCCAGGGCCAGTGCTGCATCCACTCCGCCACCTAGGTGACCCTCTACCACTCTTAATTTGATTTTGTAAATTATTTTTCAGCTCTTGTAGGATTTCTTGTTGGGCTTGTGTCCAATTCACATTTTTTTCTTTCAGGCTTTGCTTATAGTTCTTTTGACTTCATTGTCTTCTTCTAAGATTGTGTCTTGGTCTCTCCTGTCACCATAACAGCTTTTTGTGGTCAGATTCTTTATTTGTTTGCTCATTTTTCTATCCTATTTCTTGATTTTGAACTTATGTTAAAGTTGGGCTCAGTTCCCCATGGGAAAATTGGTGAGGAGGAGTACTGTCTCAGTCTTCTGGCTTTTTAATACTGCTATTTTAAGAGCTGGTTCTCAGAGTTCGGAAGTTATTGGTGTTTCCAGGGTGATATGATCTTGGGAGAAGTGTGATCACTGCTCTCTTGATCTGCACTCTGGTCTTTATCCTGGAAGGACCTCTGATCCCTTGGGATTGCAGTTGATACTGCTCCTTAGGGGTCCTGCTCCCTTGGGACTGGAAATGATACTATCTCACAGGGTCCCTGATGCCTTGGAGCAGGAAGTGATACTGTTCCTCGGGGTCCCTCGTCCCTTGTGACCAAAAATGATATTACTCCACAAGGTTCCCACTTCCTCTTGACCAAAAGTACACCTCTTGCCTTGAACCATAACCCCAAAGTGAATATAGGCAATGGATTTACCAGTGTCTGGTTCCACGTCCAGTATTAGCACAGGAGTCCCCTGTAATTTCTTTCTGACCGATTGCCAGGTCCCCTTACCATCTCTGGCTTGAGAGCTCCTGAAACTGCTACTACATCTGTTGCCACTACGCAGTCCCACCACTAGCATTTCATCTACCTGGACTTCAAGCCAGCCTCCATCCCCATGTCACAGATCTCTCCTTCCAATCTCATAAGTTGTCTTGGGCTAGAAAAATGTCTTGTCCTGACCTTTTGTTGGCTCTGCCACTCTAGCCTTCAATTTGAGGCATTATTTTAAAGTTTTTTGGTGGCAAATGTAGGGAGACCTCTTGGCTCCACCGCTGGAAGTCTTGCGGTTCTTTCTTGATACTGAATTGACCAGGTAAAAACAAATGAAATCCCTGGATTGGCTGATTAGTCACATAACAGAATTGTGAGAATTTCTAAATAATGTAGCTGCAGTATAATTCATTTATAAAGGTTCCTTTTATCGCAGCTAACAGAGTACTCAGATAACCAAGAGTTAAGACCCTACTGTGTGCTTTATATGTGTCAGAGAAAGACAGTGATTCCTTATCCTTCCAGAACACAGACAAGAACTAACCAGAAATTAAGGAGGTATTTTGATTGGACAGTAGGAAGTCATTGTAGGTTCTTTAAAAAAAATAACATTCAGTGTTTTAAGCAGTATTAGTCTATTTAGTCATGTGCAGGATGAAGTGAAGTGGGAAGAAAGGTGACTGAAGAGTGGACTGTTGTGGAAATCTGTGGGTCACTTGATAATGAAGAAGCAGATTATGGTGGTAGTGAGAAGAAAAGAGAATTCATGGAGCAAACATTTATTAAATGCCTTGTGTTTCAAAGATACTGTGAAAAATATAGGGATGAATTCTTTCCCTCAAGGAACTGACAGTCTGTTTGGGTGAGTATGATGCACAAAAATAAGTGCTACAAATTTAGAATATGATTGATTGAGTTAAAATGTGATAGATGAATTAAAAACAAACTTTTACGGGAGTTTTAGGAGAGACAAATTTAGAACACTTCATAAAACAGTTGACAAGACCTAGTGACTAATTAAATGTGGGAGGTGAAGAAGTCAAAGGCAACTATATGGTATAAACTACATAAAAACAGTCAAGTAAAATTCAAACAATTTAGCCAGCCCTTATGTCTCAAATACTGACTACATGATTGACCAAAGAATTTCTGATAGCATTCTATTCTGTATAATTCTTCTGTTAATATTGGAAAGCCATCTTGAACCCCTTTTTGGTTTTAGATGCCCCATAACTGAACTAGCAGGGAAACTAGGTTAATTTGTGTGCCATTTGATTCTTCTGGAGAACTGAGTTTATTCAGAAACCTACATGCCCTCTCCTGGTTAATGCCTGTACTTTTATTTACCATGCAAAAATGGTTTTATGAACTTTTCCCCTAAGTAATCTCTGTTTATGAAGTGTTAAGGAATTATGCGTTCCCTTTTTAAGAAAATGTCACAAGCAAATCATAAATGAAGTCTTTCTTTCTTACCAACAGCTTAGTTTGCCTCACGCAGACTCTTTCTTGTGTCCTTATTCTCTTTTAGGCTGGATCGGTGCATGTTCGAATTCGAAGAGATGCCAATGAGCAAATGGTTCTTGCTCATGTGACCAACAGGCTCTACACTTTGGTGTCAACTCTGACTGTTCAAATTTTCAAAGATGATTGGATGAGGCCTGCTTTAATATCAGGACCTGTTGCAGCCAATATGCTAAACCTTCCAGATCATCATATAATTCCAATGCCACCTTTAAAGGGTGATGAATTGAACCCTCTCACATCAACTCCAGCTAAACCCAGTACTGCACCTCCAGAATTTTCTTTTAATACACCAGGGAAAAATATGACCCCAGTTATTCTTCTAAATACACAAACCAGGCCTTATGGTTTGGGCATTAATCATGGATCCACACCATATAGCAATATGTTCAGTCAAGGATTTGGAGCACCAGGAATGGGAGCAGCTCAAGGATTCAGGACTGGTTTTACAAATATACCAAGCAAATATGGAACTAACAGTAGAGGGCAACCCAGACCATAAGAAACTGTCATTTGATCTTATTTATTCTTATTAAGGGTATCAACTTTTTGACCTCTGGTCTCTTTAGCTGGCCAGAAATGTCAACATCTGATCATTCTTTCTAAATATTAGGAATTGATGGTCTAATCCCCATTTCATGAAGCCTATAAAACTGTATTTTCATAAAATGCGTTTAAGCTAATGAAATTCTCCAGAATTTGCAGGGCTTAAATGGATTTGCTATATAGAAAGTGTGTTCCTCTAAATTCAGATTTTGCTTCTCTTTCATTTTTTGAAATTGATTGCAGTATGATATCATGTTAGCTTTATGAGGAATCACTTCACAGAGTGGCAACATTTCATTTTCTTAGTTAAAAGATGTTTTCTTCGGTTGAGATTATGAATCTGTTTCCTGAATAATGGTAAGAATTTCAGGAATAAGAAATTACCATTATAAAAGTAAAGATCTCTACTACAGCTTTTCCAAAGTCAGTTATATTTTCTTTGGGGCCACACTAGCTTTTGGAAGTTATTGTGTTACAAAGTAAAAATCAAATTTTCCTTTTACTTGAAGTTTTCTATACATGTTTTACTGACCAAGATTTTCAAATGTTGTGACTAGATTTTTATCATGGTTTTTATTGTTGTTGTTTAAATTTAGCTATCAATAAGGATTTTCACTAATTTTTCTGCAATTTTAAATGAACCATACTTCTCTTCATTACACTTTTGGTTAACTTTTTAACAAATTATTCATCAATGTGCAATGAACAGATTTTTATTCTATGATTACTCCAGTAAGGAAATAATGGTAGAAACAGCCATAATTATACAGCTTGTATAATTTATGACCCTTCTACTGGTTCATTGTTCTGTACTTCATGAACATAGTTGTATTGGCCATATCATGCTTGCAAATTAGCATAAATATTTTGTTCTTACACTGTATGATGTCACAAAAACAAAATGGACTTTAGATTGTTATACAATATTACATCTCCTGAGAGCAGAATTGTACTTTATTGTCCTGCTTTATCAGGAATGGTGAAATAGTAATGGTGGCAATATTTTTGAAAATGGCATAGGACATTTTATTTATTTTTAATGTTTTCCATGTGTTTATTATGTGGACTTTCCAGTATAGCTAGTGCTGCTTTGTATAAAGCATAGTAATACCCACATGTTCTCTTAAACGTAGTCAACTTTATATGACCTCTATGACCACAGTTTTTTAAAAAGCGATTTAATGAGTAAATGAAGTTAAACTTCCCCATTTGCCAAGGATTTTCCAGCAATTATAATTTGGAAGTTCCACTTGGTGCTGCTTTTAAGGATTCATGACCTGAACTCTTTAACATCCATCTAGAGAAGATTTTCATTGAATTCAAAATGTTCATGAAGACCATCCCTCCTTCAACAAAGTATCAAATCTTTCTCTGTCACTGAGGGATTATAAGTTGGAGGCTTGGAGGAATGAAGAAGCTGTTTTGAAGCATTTTGAAAGACCCTTATTTGCATCAGGATGAGGTCTAGTCTACCAATATATAGAGGAAGACAACTCCATGGAGTAGAGTTGTATCGTCCGGTGGAAATATGTAGCACATTCTGATAATTACTTGATGAGAAGTCATCTATCTTCCACATTTATAGTGTCATGTGGATAGTTGGGGATGTAGGAAAAATCTGATCAAAATTGTCATACCCTGAAGAGAGTATGACTTACTAAAATAAGGTAAGGCCGCTTTCCTTCTCTCTGGTTTTATGCTGTACCACACCTATGGCAGTGCCTACTAAAAGGCTACCACTACAGGAAGGGTTTACCACCAGTGACTGACCACACGTGCCTGTGAGTGTCTTCATAGAGACCGGAAGAACTTCCATATCTTGAGAGGTGGTAAAAGGTATGTTTTCCATGTGGTTTCTTCTTTCATCCCCTACATACAACCTCTACTTCTATGAGAGTAATGGTGTTTGGGTGCTGATCTTGAGTCTGTATGGAGCCTTTTTCTTCCACAACCGTTCAAAGGTGGCCACCTATACAAGTGCCCCACCAAAGGTGCTTTAATTACTGTTTACATTAGTTGAGAATGGTTATTCAAAGTTGCTTATGGGATGTGAAAATAGAACTGGCTCTGCCTGCTGGCGTTTCATTCATGCTGCCATCTGCTTTGGGTGATGCTAGTCTGTTACGCATTTTGTTTCAAAAAGCATATTTTCTAGACTATCCCACAGGAAAAAAAAAGTTTTGCTAGCAAATGGCCTATAAGTAACAACCTTGATGTTGCCATAGTGCCAGTTGTAGGTATCAAGACATGAAATTTGAAAGGATAAGTGCTTGTCATCTAGTTTGACTTTGATGAAAATTTTTCCAAAGATGTGTTCAGCAGACATTGAACTGAGCAGCACCCACATGTGTATATCAATGCCCCCTTGCTGAATAGCCCAGACTTTTTTATTGCAGTGACTACCTCAATATAATGGCCAGCTTTTAACCTATACTGACACCAAAGCCATTAACTTGAGCTACCATGAGAATGGGAGGTGGACGGTTTGGTGCTAAGTGAATAGTTGTTTGTTTTTGTTTTTTTCCCAGACAACATGGAGGTAAGGCTAGATTTTTGAACTAGCATCGTATTTTCCTTTTAGGTTCATTTTTTGTAAGGTGGGGATGTTAAAATGATTTGGGTGGTGTGTTTTTGACTCCTGTGGAATGCAGACATGGATCTCTTTTTTCTCCTTTTCCAATGACTGAAGCCTATGATTGGTGATTAAAAAGGCATAGCAGCTCCTTGATAGAAAACCTAGAATTCATGCCTGTGATTAACAGTATTGTGGCTGATTTAAAAAACCTAGAATTCATGCCTGTGATTAACAGTATTGTGGCTGTGTGCTATGAGCAGCTGCTGATTTTCTACTAGGGTAAAGGATACTGATCTATCTCTAATAAGAGAAGGTGTTTTTTAATATTCTCCATTATTTGAATTAAGCTATTAGAATCTAAGAATGTTTAGGTACAGTTACTCTGTTTTTAAGCTGTTATTGCACTCATTTTTGTACATTTCATTAAGTCATTTATGCAACCGATACTTTAAAGAATCCAACATGTACAGGGCACTATGGTAGGTATTGAAGCTAATACAAAGATAAATCAGCTATCAATTCAGTTTGATTCAACTAACATTATTAAGTACTTAATACATACAAGACACTGCCAGTTGCTGGAATTACAAAGACAAAAAAGAAAACAAACCTGCCTTCATGGAGCTTGCTTTCTGATAAAAGAGAGAATAGATACAAATAATAGCTGCAGTGCTTCCATTTCAGTGACTCCTACCTGGTCCCTATTGACTGACTTCATATTTAATTCAGATTCAACCAGTAAACATGGAATGACTAAATGGGTAGTGAGCAGCATTCCAGGGCTCAAAGTGGAAGGTGGAGAGAATGATTTTTTTCATTTTATACAAACTTAAGAGTTAATTGTAGAGACTATGTTACACACTTAACAGTGATCCAGTATTTCAGAACTTAGAGCCAAGCTTTTAAACAGTTGTATGTTGAGACTTTTTAAACAGTGACTAGTTTAAATTTATTAGATTGAATAACATTGAGATCATTATCATCAAATTGCCATCTAATTAACCTGATTTCTTGCAAATAATTTAGCTTGTGTAATACATGACCAAATTTTCTGACCAACTGCGGGTCAGGAAGTAATTCTTCTTTGCTACTGAAGTTAAAAAAAAAACAACCAAAAACCTATTTCTTGAGGTTCACTAATATTCCCATAAAGGCAAACCATCCATTACTGCTCACACAATTCCCTGCCAAATCCAACTGCTGGAAGTTTTCCAGAAGTATTTTCTCAAAGAATGATCCTAAGAATAGAAATAATGATAGTGTTAGTTTGAAGTGAGCTTCAGTCATTTCAAAGCCACATTTTCTAAATTTTCTTTGCATATAGAGCTAATTGAAAGAATCATTGACCTGGTTATTTATAAATGCCATGTTTAGACCAGCATTGAATATCAGAAAACAATGTGATATTTTTTCTTGGAGGTAACTGGGAGCCACATGATTTTATTGACAAAAGGAGACATAGTCCAACTTATGCTTTAGGAAGATTACTTTGATAGCTAAGCGGAGAATGGACTCGAGTAAGGAGAGACTTGAGCTCGGGCAAATAACTATCAGTCTGTTGCAGTGATGCAAGTTTGAGGTGATGAGAAACTAACTGCATTAGGGTGGTGGCAATGTCAGAGGAGAGAAGAGAGACTCTACAAGACATATAACCATGGGAGAAATAACAAGACTCAACAAGTGATTGGGTGTGGGGGATGGGGGAGGGTGTATGAGAGAGAGAATGAGGAGTCGGAGAATGGTTGTACCCTCAACCATAATAGAGACGTTATTAGGAAATGGTAAAAGTATGTCGGAGTAAGGGAGATAATGAGTTCAGTTTTGGACATGTTGAGTTTAGGATGCCTATGGGGCATCTGGTTTGAGATGTCCAGTAGGCAGTTTGAAATGTAAGATTGTAGGAGAGAAGTTAGGGGGAGATAGACAAATCTGAGAATCATCTGCATGGAAATAATTGAATCCATGAGAACTGATGAGATTATGAAATGAAAGACTGTAGAGAGAGAAGAGGACCTAGGAAAGAGCCTTGGGGACACCCACTGTTAGTGGGCATGACCAGGATCAAGATTCAGCAAGGAGACTGAGAAGGAATTGTCAGATAGGTGAGAAGTGAATCAGAAGAGAGCACTATCATTAAAACCTAAAAAGAAGAGAGTATCAAGGTGATCATGTGAAAAACTGAGATTGGACTGCCAGTAAAACAACTGCCGAAATAATTAAAATAATGATACCTAAATTAATTGACAGATTTAGTACTCTATCAGTGAAACTACTGAAGGGATATTTTACAGAGCTAGACAAAACAATAACCATAGTATGAATGAAGGAGAATGATATGTAATATTGCTAGAAAGATTGTGAAAAGCTTTAGCTGCCCCAAAGAGAACTTGATCCTAGAGGTTATAGAATTGCACCCTGGACTTTATCCATTATGCCCTCACACAGAGTACCTTTATCTCATCCCATACCCCACACCTCTTTTCATCTTTTTATGTGTTGTCTTCCTAGTTAGAATGTAAGCTCCTTGAGGGCAGGGACTGTCTTCCTGCTTGTATTTGTATTTTCAGTTCTTAGCACAGTGCCTGGCACATAGTAAGTGCTTAATAAATGCTTGCTGATTTATAGGGAAACACCTGGAATTTATTATAATCTGTGATTTACACCAGCCATCTTTGGGCTCAACACACCTGTTCTCATTAGGAGAGAAAGAGCCTTTTACACCATCTTAGTAGAGCTAAAGGCCATCATTTTGTCCCCCTAAATCTTCAGAATAATTCTGGCAAACAGAAGGGTGTCATCCTATGTGACAGCCTAAAACAGGGACACCTCTCTTATTTTCCCTGCAGAGAAGCTATTTGAGATCTAGTCATAAGCAGTGAGCTGTGGTTCTGGATCAAAGCCTCCCAACAGGAATAGATGACAGAAGAGAAGATTCTCAAGGTTTCATAGCCACCATTCTCTAGAATGGCCTGGAATCAAATGACAGGAAATAGAATAACAATTCTCTACAAACAAAGTAGACCAGAAATAGACTTGCTTCTAAGGCAAACAGGTCACCCTGTTCCTATTTGGCAAGTTACTGAAGAAGATCAAGGATAATCAGACTGAAGTGGTTTCTGGGACCTCTTGACCTCCTTGTTGTAATTGTATATGCACAACAATATGAGAAGCAAAAAGCTTTTGTAAACAAACAGTTTTTATAGGCAATTACATCCTCACAATTACGTGAGAATGATAACAATTTCTGATATTTGTATAGCACCTACTAAGTGCCAGGCACTGTGCTAAATGCTTAAATGTATTATTATTTGATCCTCACAACAACCCTGGGAGGTAGGTGCTATTATTATCCCCATATTACAGATGAGGAAATTGAAGCAAACAAGAGGTTAAGTCTTGTTTAAGAGGTTATATCAGGGTCACACAGCTAATCAGTGTTTGAGGCCATTTGAACTCTGGTCTTCCTAGTTCCAGATCCAGTGCTCAATGCACTGCAAACTGTGTGGATAAAATAATATGATCATATTGTTTATAGTTAGTTGATTATTTAAAATAAGTCATCAATCCAAGGTATCTGACAACTTGTGAGACATTGTGCTAAGTGCTGGACATATAAAGAAATTCAAATAAATGATACCTGCTCACAAGCAGTGTACATTCTAATGGTGAAAACAACATGCAAAAAATAACATACAAGATATAGACAATATAAATTGAAAGTGATCTCGAAACGCACTAGCAGCAGGGGGAAATACACAAACCTTTACCTCAGTAGAGCAGAAAGGCATAAAAATTCTCTGATAAATTATATCCCTTTTTAAAATCACAAAATATTCTCTGCTCCAGGCAGTCATGATGACCAATTCTCTAATCATCAGCATCAAATGAGGAATAAAACAGGGAAATATATGGTGACCAAATATTTGGCAAACATGTCCTGTTTACTTTTATGTTGGGGAGGAACTTTGGGTAGACCTTAAGGGTGGCACTTTTTTTTTTTTAGGGGGTGAGGATGGGGCATGGCAATGAATGTCTAATACTACTCACTTTGAGAGTAGATTGCATCATCTTTTTGATCTTGGAGTTTGCTGGCCATTCTGACTAAAGAATCTAGGAAGGGCCAGTCTAGATGAGGACAGCCACAGTCCCTCCTTGAACAACCATTGGGACAGCAGTAAGGCCTAGAGAGAAGAGAGGCACTGAGAGGGTACAGCTGCTCAAAGCAATAATAATTTACTGATCATTAGCTGTAAAAGAACAATAGTAGATCAGTGTCCCATGACTGCATACTTATAAATTCCAGAGTATAAGATGCAAATAATAAATCATATAAGCGCAAGGAAACAACATAGTGACTGAGGAGCAAAAGGAACAAACTAAAAATTTCCCTGGGGTATAAAAAGAAACACATTATTGATTTGGCAATTATTGAACAAGTCAACCAGAAAGTGCATTACATTTGTATTGCCTTTATTGATTACCGAAAATGTTTTATTCTTTTCCGCACTTTTGTGGCTTATTTGTACTGTAAGTATATAAAATAGATCCAAATATAATGAAAATATAAATATAAAAAAATAAAATAAAATAAAATAAAAAAATATAAAAAAATTCCCCAGTAAGTTGCTAAGGTAATCGATGTTTACATATATTATATGCCACCAATACAATAAAATAATAAATGATATAAAATCTGGCATGTATTAAGGAGGCAGGCTACGCTCTAAACCCACCATCATCTCTTCTAAATTAAATCAATAAGCATTTATTAAGCACTAATATGTGCCAAGCCATGTGCTAGGTGCTACAGAAAAAAAAACAAAACACAAAACCTCTCAAGGAGCTTAGAATCTATTGTTCTCCAATATCATCACTGGTTTTTCAATTTCTCAGAGTATAGCTTCCTTTTGATGAGATTAGCTCCTTTTCATTGGTTGTAGTTGTGTGTATTATTTTGGACCTACTTCGTTCTACATCAAGCAGTTTAGATTTACAAGCATTTATTATGCTTCCAATGTTCTAGGTACTGCGCTACGACTGGGGAAATGGAATGACAAAAATAGGGCTCTCTGCTCTCAAGGAGCTTGTATTGGGAGAGATAGAATGTAAGTAATTAGGTACATAAAAGATACAGAATAGATGGAAGGTATCTTTAGAGGAGAAGGTCCTAAGAGGGAAATAGGCAAGGAGGGAGGGAAGAGGACTGTGTAAGATGTCCACAAAAAGTACTCCTTGAATAGAGCACCAGCCCTGGATTCAGGAGGACCTGAGTTCAAATCCGGCCTCAGACACATAACACTTAACTAGCTGTGTGACCCTGGGCAAGTCACTTACCCCATCACCTAGCCAAAAAAAACAAAAAGTACTCTTTGAGCTGAGGGGTTTTTTCATTTGTTTTTTTGGTAAATTTTATTTTACACTTAAATACAAAATGAGAAAAGAAAAAAATTGCCATGTACACAGCAGACTATAAGAGAGGATTCAATATAAAACAATACATTTCTGTTTCAAAAAAACCTGTATAATAAATGCTACACATGAACTAAGATTTTTAAGGAAGCCATGGATTCTAAAAGGCAGAGGTGGAAAGCCAACCCATTCCAGGCATTGGGGACAGCCAGTGCAAAGTCAGGAGGTGGGAGATGGAATGTTGTGTACCAGGAACAAAAAGAAATCATAGATTGTGGAGAGGAATAAAGTGTAAGAAGCCTGGAAAAGTTGGGAAGGACCAAGTTACAAAGAACTTCACATTCCAAGCTAAGAAGCATTACATTTGATCCTTGAGGTAACAGTAGAGTGTATTGAGTACAGGGGTCACATGGTCAGAGGTGTGCCTTAGGAAAGCTGCTCTGACAGCTGTGTTGGAGATGGATTGTAGTGAGGAGAAGCTTGAGGCAGGGAGAATAACTGTAAGCTATTTCAGTAGTCCAATTCATACAGATTTTCCCATGGTCCTGTAAATTACTCATATTTGTCATTTCTTGCTATACCATAATATTACATCACATTCATATACCACAAGTTGCCCTCATTTCTTTCAGGTAGTCTGTCCTCACTACCAGGTGTGATCATGATTAACTTCATTCACAGTCTAATGTTCTGTCCCTCAACGTTCAGCCGCCTCCCAATTTTGTCCAGAGTCTTCCCTTCCAACCCCATGAATTTGTCAGGGATCTCCTGAGTGAGGTTATTCAAATTATCTAGAGTTGCTGCTCCCACCATTGAGTATAGGGGATTTGACTGGGGATGGAGAAAAGCCAAGGATCTTGCAAAAGAAAATTTGAAACTTTCCACTACAAAGTACTCTCAGATTTTCAAAGCATACTATCACATTATCTCATTCAATCTTCACGAGGACCTTGTAAAGTAGTTCTGTTACAGGAATGGTTCTTAATCTTTTTTGTGTCAAGGATCTTGGCAATCTGGGACCCTTTCTCAGAATAGTGTTTGCAAATGCATAAAATAAAATGCATTGGATTGTAAAGGAAATCAATTATATTTAAATACAGTTATTGATTTTTTTTAAGTTAACAGACTCCAGGTTAAGAAGCCCTGTGCTACAGGTATTTCTGTTCCCATTTTACAGGTGAGGAAACTAAAGTTAAGGAAAGTTAAATGTCTTCCCACCCATTGAGTAAAAGTCAGAGATGGGGTATGAACCCAGTTCTCTCCTTACTTCAAATCCAGACCTCTCCACTAGGGGAAGGATACTGAAAACTGCCTACTTTGCAATTTTGTCTAGACCTGGCCTTATTCTCTCACATACATTCCATATATTTGTCCCTCTAGCACTTGCCCAAGATTTGGATGTCAGTGTCTGCAAGACTTCATTCACTGAATTCAAGTATGACGAACCGCAGCAGTGTTTCCAGTTGCTCTATCAGCCTCGTCAGGTATAGATTCACATCACATCCCCAGAGGAGCAACTGTGTCATCAGCTGTTTCAGGACATCTAACACATCAACTAAAAACAGCGGAAAGTAGTTCAGTGCAGGTTGATTCCAACATCAACACAGTTCATTATGAAATAAGGAGGAAGTGAATTCTGTGTATAATGGCTACTATGTTCATCCTTGGGAGATATGTCAGGAAGAATGCAGGAAGCCTGGAATGTTGGAAATTCTCTTTGTCTCATCCTGCCCTGCCCTGCCCTCCCTGAAGAGGCAAAATGTCCATGGTATTATAATAATTAAAAGGGATTTGCTGGTAAAATAAGAGACACCTATTCTCTGTCCTAACTCAGTGTAGCTTAGAAATAAGCTAAACTGATTCATTTCTGGGCGTGTGGAAAGCTATAAGGTGAACAAAAGAGACCACAGATGTCTCCTATAAATGGGTTGCTACTCCAGGGCCAAGATCACATCTGCTTTCACTACCCTAATCTATGCATGCAGATGCTCATTTTCAGCTGTTGTCTTTCTTATCCAGTTCACATAAAGCCTCAGATAAATCAAGTTTGCTTAGTTTTGGCAAATTTGAAATTTTTGAGCCAGGAAAAAGGTAATTCCAATGATCAGTTGTTTCTTAAAATGCTTTAATAATGTAGTAGGTATGATGTGCAGAACACCTGATTTGCTGAACTGTGGTGAACTTGGAGATCCTTTCCAGTTCTGACTTTATGATCCTAGCACTATGAGCCTATAAACTTCAGACAAACTGAGATGTTTCTACAATTGCCTATTTGCTTAAATCTTAATTCTCAGGGAAAAGCCATGTCAAAAAATAGAAACAAATGAAATGTTTTTAAAGGATTCATCTGTAACTTTTTTTAGTTTCTCTTCTACCTTTAGTTTGGAACAAAGATAAGCTCACACAACCTAAGCATTTATTGGTATGTATTTGGTCATGACTTATTATTCTACACATATTCTTACCTAGTGAAACAGAAGGCAACAGTTAACCTAGTGTTTTCACACCATTAATTTTCAAATAGATTGGATTTCTTCAAGATGACAACACTCAGAGGATATTGACTTGATTATATAATCCATTCCATCTCCAATGTGAAACAAATGGGTCAAACAAAGTAAATGCAGTTTCTTTGGGCTCATCAGGCCTTTAGCTATCAGTGTATTGAAAAAGAGACAAGCACATAAAAATTCTAGAGTTAGTTGTACTTCAGCATGGGTTTACAGATGAATTCTTGACAAACTAAGAAGTAGGCCCACTACTATCAATGAAGTTGCCTGTACTTTACATGTTTTTCTTTAAATATAATGTAAGAATGAACACATAGCCCATTGTTTAATCAATCAATCAATAAGCATTTATTGAGCATCTATATGTGCCAGGCATGATTCTGAGTGTTGGGGATACAAAGACAAAAATGAAACTGCCCTTGTCCTCAAGGAACTTATGCACTATCAATAAGACAAGAATTCAAACTACTAGGAGAAGCAGGCCCTGTTCAACAAAAACTGATTGGAAAAACTAGAAAGTAGTATGTCAGAAGGTGAATTTGAGCTGGCATCTTATACTACATAAGTTCTAAGTGAATAATTAAATACTAAAAGTCACATCCAACATTTAGAGTGGAAGGTAGTTAGGGGAAGAATTCATAATCTGAAAGGAATAGAGGAGATTACAAAAGATAAAATAGACAATTTAATTTATATAAAAATTTGAACACTGCACAACATTAATGGAGTTAAAATAAGAAAAACTGCAGATTGGAGGGGAAAATCTTTGATGCAAGTAGTTCTGATAAGTTTATAAGAAATTGACACAAATATATGACTGAGGCACTCCCAATTAAGTGATCAAAGGATATGAGCAAGAAGTTTTCAAAAGAAGCAATGCAAGTCAATAACTATATGTAAAATGCTCCAGATCATTAATAAAAAAAGAACTGCAAGCTAAAACAACTCTGAGGTAAAACTTCCCACCAATCAAATTGGCAAAAATGGTAAAAGGTCAAAAATAGTAAGTGTTGAGGAACAGAGTTATGAAAAGATAAGATATACTAATGTACTATTGGGTGAGTTGTAAATTGGTTCAATCATTATGGAAAATAATCTGGAATTATGTGAAAAATGTGACTACATTGTTAATATCCTTGATCTAACACAACCTTTTCTAGGCATATATACTAAGGAAGTCAAAGACAGAAAGGACCTATGTATACCAAAAGAATCATGGTAGCACTTTTTGTAGTTGCAAAAACAAAAAAAACTGGAAACAGGGTAGGTCCAGGATAGGTACTTAACAATTGTTTGAATAATTATGATATAGAAATATTATTATTCAGACTATAAGGAATGACAAATACAAAGACTTCAGAGAAACATGAGAAAACTTGTATGGCCACTTGAATGGAAGCAGACATTAGCTCCTCCATATCCACTCCAGTAAAAACTTAAAAATCATGCCTGGTCAAATAATGATCATGAAATCCAAAGAGAAACTACAGTGACTACTTCTATCCCAGAACTACCATAAAGTCATCCAGATATTAATAGGTAATGGGGGAAATGGCCTGTAGCAAAACCAGCACCAGCATAGGCAAACAAGCCAGCAGCCTCCTGACATGACCAGATATGAACCAGAGGGACTTGTAGTCTGCAAGGCTCTTGTGTCTGGAGCCAGCAAGACTGGAACACTATCCTGAAAAAGTGCTACAGAGGTTGGAAAGCCACAGCAAGAATCTTGAAAGCCATCAGCATAATGCAGCAGAGCTCAGACCAGAAGACCCCAAGACTTTGAAGTTCCCTAGCACTCTGTCATGAAATACCATAGAGAGTCTTGGAGAGTCATCACTCTGAAACTCAAAGATGTAGAGATGCTTAAACCTGGGGGTTGAGCTCACCTCAGGAGCTCCAAGTGACCCAAATTGAGACCAAGCAGGGCTGACCATCTTCCCCAAAAGTACAGTGAGAAGCAAAGCCTGGTTCTGGCACAGAGCCCCAATTCATGAACTAAATCTAGAGGGATGACCAAGCAGAAGAAAATACAGAATACTATAAAGAGTTTTTATAACTCTAAAGATGCCCCAAAATACAACATAGGAGAATGTAACTGTAGAACAACTGCAAGCAGAAACTCAAAGGAAAAATTAGATTTTCCTTGAAGCCTGCATGAATACCTAGAAAAAATTAAGCAAGAGATAAATTAAAACTCTGGAAAAAAAGAATTGGAAAGACAATAAACATCTTAAAACAGAAAGTTGTCAATTTTACGTAAGTTATCTGACAGAATAGCCCAAACAGACATAAGTGAATCCTCAAGACAGCAAGAAATATCAGAACAAAATTTTTTAAAAATGAAAAAAATAGAAGGGGAAATGTAATTCATCTCCCTTCATCAAAAACAACTGGCCTAAAAAATAGGTTAAGGAGAGACACTCTTAAGAGTCATCAGGCTTTATTTAAAAAAACAAAAACAAAAACACCCTGAAACCTGTATATTAAGTCATGGAGAGGATTCTGGAAAGATGGCAGAGGTCAGAGAACTTTTGGTTCTTCAAATTTCCTCCACAAAAAAGACAGTACATTTCCTCTGAGAGGCAAAAATAAACACAAGGTAAAGCAGTTGTCCTCTTAAGATAATTTGAGAAAGGGGACAACTAGGTGGTGCAGTGGATAGAGCACCGGCCCTGAAGACAGGAGGACCTGAGTTCAAATCCAGCCTCAGACCAAACACTTAACACTTACTAGCTGTGTGACCCTGGGCAAGTCACTTAACCCCAATTGCCTTAAAAAAAAAAAAAGATAATTTGAGAAGGCCCCAGGAAAGGCCTGACCTCCAGCTGCTTAGGTTTGTCCTGAGTTAAGTGCAAATGCCTTCAGGCCAACTCTATGGAATCAACAAACAATAAGCCCTGGGAGCAGTTGGGTTGAGGGGCAGCCTCAACCTTAGAAACTTTCATCTTGGAGACAGTGTGAGGGTCTGACCACTGAGTAAAAGATTGAAGGACTTTCTGCTACTGAGGGATGCCAAGCACAGCTACTAACCAGATGCATCCTGAGCTATGGTGTGGGGAGAAAGAGCTAGCACACACCTAATAAATGCAGCAGCAGTAGCTGCTGGCCGTGGGCATTTGCAGGAGAGGGCAGAGAGGACAGCTATAGTTTGCAGCCATCCAGGGGTCTTCAGGAAGCAAGATCATTTGTGAAACCGTGTAGCTAGGGGCCCTAGCCATGGCTTAGGGCTGGAAAGGAGAGCCCAAGGTTGGGTCCCAAGAGAGACCTCAGAAAATAACAGTAAGAAGGAACTGAGGCTTGGGGCATCATTCCCCATATCTTGGGACTATAAGATGGTTACACTAATAGCTGCTAAAAACAAAATAAAACAAAAAATAAATAAAAATGAATAAGCAAATTAGAAAAACTCAACCATAGACAGTTACTATGAGGATAGAGAAGATCTGGGTTCATATTCAGAAGAAGATAATGGAGCTAAAAAAGCCACTTCTTTTTCAGTGAGAAACATAAAATGGTCCCAAGCATGAAAAGAGTTCTTGGAAGAACTTTAAAAGGACTATAAAAATCAAATAAGAGAGATTGTGGAAAAATTAGAAGAAGAAAAAAGAGCAACCCAAGAAAATAAATAAAATTATGAAAAAAAGTCAACCAATTGGAAATAGAGAATCAAAAACCTAAGGAAGAAAATAATTCCTTGAAAACTAGAATCGGGCAAGGGGAAGCTAATGACATTTGAAGACACCAAGAAATCATAAAACAAAATCAAAAGAATGAAAAAATAAAAGAGAAAGTAAAACATCTCATCAGAAAAACAACCAATCTGGAGAACGGATCGAGGAGACGTAATATAAGAATAGTTGGACTATCTGAAAATTATGATTAAAAAAAAGAATCTTGATACAAAATTACAAGAAATTATCAAGGAAAATTGTCCTGAAGTTCTAGAACAAGAAGACAAAGTAGAAGTAGAAAAAATCCACTGATCACCACCTGAAAGAGATTGCAGGAGGAAAACTTACAGGGATGTGATAGCCAAATTTTAAAGTTCCTGGGTTAAGGAGAAAATATTGGAAGCAACAAGAAAAAAAAATTTAGACATCATGAAGCTAAAATAAGGATTACACAAGATGTAGCAGCTACTACATTGAAGAACCATAGGTCTTGGAATACTATATTTCATATAGTAAAAAAACTAGGGTTACAACAAAGGGTAATTTACCCAGGTAAGTTAATTATAATCCTGAATGGGAAAAAAATGGATATTTAACAAACTCAAAAACTTTTAGGTTTTTGTGTCAAAACCCCCAGAACAAAAGGGAAAATTCATCATATAACATCCAGGAGAAATATAAGATAAACATTAAAGACCAATTATAAGGGACTCAATAAGGCCAAATTGTTTACTTTGTATATGTGAAAATATTAGCAGTATTCTTATGATTTTCATCATTATGTAGGTAGTTTGAAAGAAAGGCATGGACTGAGCTGAATATGATCGAGTGATTCTAAAAAAATGAAACCATGTAAATAGAAATAAAAAGGAGTAATTTCATACAAATGAGGCAAAAAGGAAAAAATTTATCCTGAAGAAGCTAGTAGGGAGAAGGCAAGTAGTGCTGGAACCTTACTGTCATGAAGAATGGGTTAAAGAGGGAACAATGTATATCTAAAAGGGTATAAAAATCTTCTAAATTCAGAAAGAAGTAGGGCAAAGGGATACGTTGGGAGGAAAGGATAAGGGAGGGACTCTTACAGGGTAGGTTAAGGAATAAGAGGGCAAGGTAGTGGGTAGAAGTAAAGCAGAGGAGTGAGGAGGGATAGGGTAATTAGGATGAGAAAGATAGTGAGGAAAAATAAGGAGGAGAAAAATACAAGTAATTGTAGCTTAGAATGTGAATGGGATGAGTTTATCCATGACATTGAAAGGGATAGCAGATTAAAAATTTGAATTCAACAATATATTGCTTTCAGGAAACATCATGGAAATGAGAGATACACATGAAGATAAAATAAAGAGCAGGAGTAGAATTTAGTATGTAAAAAAAAAGCAAGGATAGTAATCATGATCTCAGACAAAGTTAAAATAATCAAAAGTGAAAAGTAGAGAAACTACACCATGTGTCAGCAATATTGTTCAATATTGGTTTAGACCATTTAAAATACCTAGAGAGTATAAAACAGC